TAATTATTGAAGACTGGGAAATATTAAAAAAGCTTTTTGATAATATAATGAATTCTGAAGAGTCAGACCGCAAATCAGTTCAGCTGGCTAAAGGGTTTTTAAGAGATTTAAATGATTTTGAGTTCACATTTTTATCAACAGTTTTTAGCGACATTTTTCATATAACAGATATTTTATATGATGTTCTTCAAAAAAACTCCCTAGATTTTAATTTTTGCTTAAACCAGATAAGGAGAACTCGTCAATTAATAAGTGATAAAAGAAATGAAGAATTTTTTACTTCTATTTTTGGAAAAACAAGCACAATGACGGTCATTAATACTCCCAAACGTTTGCCAATCAAGAATGCAATTACTACTCAATACAGGGCAATATTATTTTAAATATATGATCATATTTTATTGGAAATGGATATACGTTTTCAGGATTATGATAAATTAAAATTCGTAAGTTTAGCAGATACAACAAAATTTGTGTCATACTGTTTGACCTTCCCGACTTTTTCGAAGTCCGATGCTTTTCAAAATTTATTTGGGTTTTATGGCACACAATTTACTAAACATCAAAGACTTAAAAATGAGCTCTGTCTTCTTTATGCCGACGAAAATTACAAAAATGTGAATTTGCAAGAATTGGTTATAAAGTTACAACCAATTAAAGACATTGTTGCAGAAGCCTGTAATTTGTTTTGTTTAATTCTGACAATTCCATCGGCAATCGTTTCCATAGAAAGAAGTTTTTCGTGCTTAAAAAGGTTAAAAACTTTTACAAGCAACACTATCACGAGATAGACTATCCAGTTTGACTGTTATCGCACTTCATAAAGAACTGTTGAATGAACTTATGCAGAAGCATCTTTTTTACGGGGATATTATTAATAGATTTGCCTCCTTAAAAGACCGAAGGATCGACTTGATTTATAAAAACTAGATAAGTCAGTTCTATTAGTCTATCTAATACTGCTTTTTTTAAGTTTAAGTATCTCTTTACCCTCAATTCTAGTATCATCACCATCATCATTCCGCAACCTCTTGCATCCAATTTTGGATATAGGTTTCCTCCATATTCTTCCATTGTTCTCTATCTTGTGCCATCTGTATCGAATTTTCCGCAGTTTTTCTCAAGTCATCTATCCATCTTTTTGGTGGTCTACCTCGGTGTCTTTTATCTTCTCTAGGTCTCCATTTGGCTTGTGCAATTTTTTCTATGACATATGTTACTTTAGTCCTTTCTCTCTTTCTCTTTATCTCTCTCTGTCATCCCGTGAGAGGTTGTTGGACCTCCATCGGGCGCCTCCCCAGGTGGCGGATAGGGAAATGCCTCCTAGATATAGGTGGTACAGGAGAAATGAAATTCTCGGGGTGGACCAAAACCAGTAAACACTGCAGTGTCTGATCTAGAGTGATCGGCTGCAATCACCGTCTGACCTAGAGTGGGCGGCTGAATCGAAACTCAACGAACCCGTTTTACCAGGTGTGGTGGTTTAATCGCCAAAAAACCCTTAATGAAGTGTCGAAGGTTCAGAACTAAAATACTCCAGGCAAGCAGAACAAATCGTATCTAGTATAAGTGCCGCCACTTTTTTAGGCCACAAGCCGCCGCTGTTTGTTACAAACGCAATTCTTGCTATTTCTATTCTAGCTCTTAATATGGTTGTTTGATCATTATTGTCTAAAATCCAGGTTCTTAGGTATTTGTATTTATCAACCCTTTTTATCGGTACATTTCCCAAATGTCTGTTTGTTGGTATATTTATTTTCTTTGTTATTATCATGTATTTGGTCTTTTTATATTCATTTTTAGTCCATATTTTTTACAGAAACTGTTTGTTTTGTTTAGCAGTAATTTAAGTTGTTCAGCAGAGCTTGCCATAATCACGGTGTCTGCATATCTTGTGTTGTTAATAGATCTTCCGTTAATTATTATTCCTTCACTTTGAGGTAGCTTTTTTAAAAATGGCTTCACTATATACATTAAAAAGTAACACAGACATAATACATCCCTGCCGAACTTCTCTCCTGATTTCAATTTCGGGGCTGGGTTCGTTATTTATTACGATTTGTGCTCTTTGATTCCAGTAGAGGTTTGTTATTATTCGTAAGTCCCTATGGTCTATGTTTTTTGTCTTTAGAATTTGGACTAATTTTTCATGTCTTACTTTGTCAAATGCTTTTCCAAAATTAACGTAAGAAACATGCACATCAACATTCATATCCATGCATCTTTGAGCTAACGCATTAAAAGCAAATAACGGTTCTCTGGTTCCTAGTCTGTTTCTGAACCCAAACTGACTATAATCTATTCCTTCTTCTAATTTTTTATTTATACGACCATGTATTATTTTCAGGAATAATTTGAGAATGTAACTTATTAGTGATATTGATCTGTATTCACTGCAATATTTAGCGTTTGTATTTTTAGGGACAGCACAAAAGGTGGAGAGTAACCATTGTTTCGGATGGAGTAACCATGTGTCCTGTTTTGTATATTGAGTTAAATAAGTCTACTATAATGTCTAAGGTTTCATTATTCATGCGTTTTAATATTCTCTAGGGATTTGGTCTAGACCTAATGCTTTACCATTTTTGCTGTTTTTTAATGCCATATTAATTTCCTCTTTTAATATCTTTAAAACCATAATCCTCTTCTACTTATATCTCCATCTGTTCTGTTCTATTGTCTTTGAACAGTTCATTGGTGTATTGTGTCCATGTCTTTAATTTGTCGTTAGTATTCAACACAAGTTTCCCATTTGCATCTTTCAGTATGCCCGCGTTTCTTGTTCTATTGTTGTGAGTTAATTCTTTAATTTTTTTATGTGTGTTAAAACTATCATGTCTTTTCTGATATTCTCTTATTTCTACGCATCGTTCTTTATACCATTGTTCTTTCGCTTTCTGAATTCTGTATTTTATTTGTTTATCTACTTTTTTGTACATGTGATTATCTTTGTTCTTATATTGACGTCTTTCTTCCATTAAATCTAAAATTTCGTCCGTCATCCATTGCTTCTTTTTATACCTGGTTGGTATAAGAATTTCTTTTTGACTTTTATCTATGTCTGTCTTTATAAATAACCATTTGTTTCTCCGTCTCAGTATTTTGCTCTTTAATGCCGGGTCCAGACCAAACAGACAAAACAAAAACATTCATGTTTCGCGTAAAGTGGCGACAAATCGAAAACATTTGTTGAGACATTTCTGAACAATTTTGTTTTGTTTGCAAATTTGAAAACTTTTTCAGGTCCCGTCTCAGGTCGGTAAAGATCAAAAAGTCTGTGTTTTGTCTGTGTATTTGACGACAAGTTGTCAGCGCAGTGTGGACGCGTGCGCGTGCCAAAACGAGTTAAGCAGTACACTCAAAAATTGAGGAGTCTACCCACACCCTATGCCCAGTTCACAGTAGAACATCTAATTCACAATCTTTTATATGACGCTGAAACGGGCATGTATAATGAACCCAAGAAGCTACCACTATTCCAGGTACAACGGGAAATGAAAGAATTTATTCAGTTTCCCACAGGATTTTCTGGTTCTTCGTGCTCAAATCCACTTAGTCTCAACACAAATGTTCACTCAAGTCCATCCAACTCCAACCCACAACATTTGTATTCAAATCCACCCAGCACTGACACACAACATTCATACTCAAATCTTCCCAGCATTGACACACGTTCATACTCAACTCCTCTTAGCATTGATACACATTTATACTCAAATCCACCCAGCATTGAACATTTATACTCAAATCTACCCAACACGCAACATTCATACTCAAATCCATCTAGCGCTGACCCACAAAATTCTTACTAAAATCCACCAAACACCAACGCACAACCTTTATTTTCACATCCACCTAGTATTGACACAGAGCTTTCTCAGTATTCAGATGTAAAAACAAGTAGACTCGTCATTATTTTGTATGTAGTATGTACCTATCGTCAATTTCTTTTGTATTAAACATTTAACCAATAAATATGGAGTTTATTTTAAGGGATATTAACAGAAAAATAGTAATGAAAAAAGTTTAACACACCTGTACATAACCACTAAGACTGTTAATTAAAGCTTTACATACTTCAGGTATTATTACAGATGTTGATTGCTTTGATACATTAGGCTGTGGTAGGAATCACCTGTTGCTAAAAATCTTAAAGTGATTGATAACTTTTCTGTCACACTTATAGCATTTCTAAAGTTAGTATGTCTTTTTGCAACTGCAGGACCAACAAAGCATATCGGATTCTCAAAATCTTCGATGGACATTCTTAAAAAATTTTTGAAGCTTGATCGAATTTCACCACTTAGTCCAATAACATCTGGGCGCAGCTGAACCAACAATTTTTCTATCGAACAACTTTCTCGCATTTTTAGGTTTAGTCTAATCCAAAAACGTTGGGTTTTCTTTTAGTAACCTGGGATGATCATTAGAGCAAAAAAACAACTTGCGGCTAGCAATACATCTTCAGTTTTATTTTTTTCTTGATTAAAACGCCACATGGTTAACCAACACTAATCACAACAACAACGTCACCAACTGAATTTTGTTTTTATATTTTGTTGTTCTGGTGTGGACAGTTTGTCTCAATTTTGTTTTGTCTTTTGACAACAGATTTTGTCGCTGGTTTATCGTGTTTTTGTTTCAGAATTGTGTTTTCGTTTTGTCTGCTTGGTCTGGATCCGGCATTACATTCATTAATCCGTTGCTCTTGGTTGCATTTCTATTTTGATAAATGCATCCATTAGTATAGAGTATAACTTTTTACTTTCATTTGTATTTTCCTCTTTTAATACTGGTATTACTTCGTCCAATACAAAATTTAACCACAATTGTGTCGAATTCTTCGGCATTAAGATCTCCTTCGGATTTATTCCACAAATAGCATGTTCCCTGTAGAGTTTTTAAGTTAAATAAACAAAAATTGTGAACGCAGAGTTTGGTCCTATAATATAGACTGGAAATATGAGAACGTGATGCAAACAGCACTCCCTGTAAGTCCATTATAAATACATATTTTTGTAGTATCTTAATATCCTTTTTCTTAAATTATATATAACAAAACAATTTCTTCTTGGTGCAGATTCATTTTTTTTTTGTCTCTGTAACGTTGAGTTGGTACTATTTAAAAGAACATCTAATTTTACAACCTCTACCCTTCTTCTTTTTCGTTTTACTGGCCCTAACTTTTCAGATTCATTGTCAGAATCAGAATTTTCTGAATAGTTGACCAGGCCGTATCCTTCATAAGGTGCATCACTGAAATTGGATTCGGGTCTTTCAGTAGGTTTACTACTGCCTGGTTTATTTATTGTATCAAAATCATTTTTTGAGCTACATGTGGCAGTAGTATTATGTGTTTCTATTTCATTTTCAATAACACTTTTGTTATTATAATTCACTTCATGTATTGCATGAAAGTCGTTTTCTGAGCTACATACCTTACAAAATGTATTTAAAATGGCAACAATTAAAGGAGTTAGGCGGTTTGCGTTGTGCAAATTGAACTTCAAACTAAGAAAACAGACAGAAATTATTTATTTTTAACAGATGGCACAATAATCTAAATTTCATTAAAAAGTAGAGTTTAAACCACTTTACAGTTTAAGCCATCGATATATAATATATATGTATACAAACGAAGCGTATATATAAAAACGTGTGTTTTCAATATATAATAAATATTGTCGTTAGAAATGAAATACCTCCAATGTGCAAATTTCTATTAATTCAGATTTTAAACGATTCTGAATCGCTATGAATAGCTTTACAGCCTAGAAAAATATCCAATGTGCCTACCGATTCCTAACTTCCCTAATGTCTAAAAATGCATTACTCCAATGTAACATATTATTAATTGTTGGACTGAAATAAATCCAATGTGCTTAAAAAACACATCGGAGCTATGATCTATTATAATATCTGCACATTGGAGGTATTTCATACTTTCATCTGTCAAATTCCTATCCTCAAATTTTCTCAAATAAGCTATTTACCAGTGCAAAATTCTATCCAAACTTTTGCTCCTATTGAAAATGAAATTTATAATGAAAAATCCAAAAACAGGTATGTAAACAAATTCACTACCACGGTTAGATATCTTTCATTTCATTATTGCTTAAATTAAGTAGGTAATAATTATTTTTCTTATTTCAGTTTGCCTGAAGCTACTATATTGGAACAGGAAAAAGGCAAAATTTGTGTTTTGGCGATGTAAAACATATTACCAGACGGAATGGCATGTCAGTAAAGGAGCGATGTAACCATATTATAACGCCAAAATGTTTAAAAGAGCACTCATTTAAATGTTCTTTAATTACGCAGGACGATAGACTACGAATTTTTTAAAAATGTTGGACATTGACGTCGTGGGAACATAGAAGCACTTATGTTAAAAATTCAGACAAACGGTCCAAAAAGAGGAGTGCTCGTGTTTTTTTTTTGTTTTTAAAGACGGAAGTTACCTTAAGGTATGCTGAGTTATGTTTTTGAACACATTAAATTTAGGAGAAGACACAATGAAATGATAGGTCTCAAGGGAGCCAGCCACTCATGAAATTTATACTTCTGGTGAAAGTCTACAAGATTCCAACATTCAACGAAATTACTCCAAGAAAAATAAGACAAATTTGCAAAGAAAAGAATGTTATGGAATGGTTGCAAGATATTCCTAAAGTTCCTTCACACTATTGTAGAGCCTCTACTAGCAGAATTTATGTTGACAACAGTATCATAACAACAAATTACATGTACAGACTATATAAAGGATGGTGCAATGATAGAAAGCAGTCAGTTGCTCATATCAAGTTGTTTAAACTTGTTTTAAAAGCGGAGAAAATACATAAGCAAAGGAAAGATCAATGTGATACGTGTGTTACACATAAAATGACGACAATAAGTATTGCAGATTATGATGCACATGTCAAAGCATAAAGAAGGAAGACGGGCAAAAAAATTATTAAAAAGTAGCGCACATTTTGAAAAATTGGTTCTTACAGTTGATATTCAAAGTTTCTTAACGTGTCCAAAAGTATTAGCTTCCCAATCGTATTATAAGCTTAAACTTCAAGTACACAACTTCACCATTTATTCTCCAAATGATGAAGATATCCAGTTGTACGTTTGGCATGAAGCAAATGGTGGAGTCAGTAGCAATGAATGTACATCTTGTCTTATAGATTATATAAATAATATTCCTGCTAACTATCAAACTCTTGTATTCATCTCAGATGTATGCAACTACCAAAATCGAAAAAGAACTCTGGCTATTGCTTTAAGTGATTCAGCAAGAGCAAAATCCCTTACAATACAGCAGTTATATCTTGAAAAAGGCCATACTGTGATGGAAGCAGATTCAGTTCATTTAACTTTGGAACATTACTTTCAGACTATAATTAATTCACCGATGGATTACATTGCTAGAATGTGTCTTGCTCGGCCAAAACATCCTTATAATAATAAAAACGTAGATTTTACGTTCTTTAAAAAGTACGCTATTGACAGTAACTTTCGTTCAATAAGACCTGGAAAAAAATGCCAAAGATCCGCAAGTTGTAGATATAAGACAATTAAAATATAGTCCCAATGGAGAGGTATACTACACCACTGATTACTCAGATAACTGGAAGCTACTACCACACAAAAGAGAAAGTTAAGACCTGTCGGTTTATGAAAACTCGCTCTTCAAGACACCTCCTGAAATATCAGAAGACAAGTTCAAACATCTGCACAACCTCAAATCAGGTATTGAAAAAGATCATCATCACTTTTACGATACTCTTCCTAAAATCAACAAAAATTAATACTTTCGGTGGTGTTCGTAAAAATATCATACACTGATACTACATGTCGAAGTTTGTTTATTTAAAATAAAGATAATACAAATCACTCTACTGTTTATATGACTCTTTTTCCCCTAATAACACATTCAACGTGTATAATACTATGACATGCCATACACAATATTTGAAATTCCTGCTATGTACCGGTTTAATTATTTATAATTTCTCCAATGTGCGAGTTTGTAGTATTTTTTTTATTAGTTTAATGTTTTGCACTGATTTAAGGAATCAATTTCACCTTAATATTAATATCAATCTTAGTTTTGCCAAAAAAATCAATTACTAATAGCGTTATTTAACTGTTTTTTGTGTCTCCTGTAAAATTGGGATATTTTTACATTGGAGATATTTCATTCCTAACGATGATATATAAAATAAATATATCTTTTGTTTAGCGGTAAAGAGCTACGATAAATATGTTTGTTTAAAATCATGAATATCAAACCATATAAATATTATGAGAACGGTCCCCTAAGGTATTAGCTGATTATGTTAAGTTCATCGAGTGCAATTTATACGTTTCCAACTAACTAGATATAACTCCTTACGTGAGGAAACTTCCAATCCGGTGTTTTGCAGCGTATCGAGAGCCGAATTGTTGAACTGTTCCAAGTTTAACCCGTCTGGATGTGCACATCGCACACTAAACTTATTTAATGTTGCCGGATGTTGACGGCAGCTTGCAACGAATATAGAAGTCAAATAAAGTTTTTCTACAATTGTCAAGAATCTTAACAGAAACTAATGCAAGTCACATTGTTGTCGATGGGGACATTAGGTTCTTATTGTTTAATTTGATCACGAACAAAGAGTAGATGAAGAAAGTATAGTAACTGAGCATTCAACTTTTGCAAACATTGCAAGTGAATGTTTTAATGATACTTATTCAAGAGGGTTATAAACTGTCTCATACAGGAAACAATAAGTACTCGTAAGCTATAAATAAGTAGAACTACAGTGAGTAATCATGTAATTAAAGTCTCTGGTGCAAGAAGGGGATAAGTAACAATATGTAAATTTTACAGGAGAAGCAAAAAAGTTTTATTTGTTAATTTAAAATTAAGTTTAGTTTAGTTCATGAAGTAGGGCCGAACTAATCAGCAGGTATAAATGATTTTGCCGTCATTCTACAGCCAAACAACAATGCTATTAGGGAAAAAAATTTGATGCAATTATAGGATAAGTTTATGCCTTTTTTGTACTGTAGTTTACAGCAGGCACAAAAAGGGGATAAGTTACATTAAAACCCATTTTCAGAATAAATACTTTATTATTAAATGTGAACTACTTAATAATAAAAATGAATATAAAATAAAGCAACGCAAATTTTAACAGAAAGTCTATTTCTTATACAAATAGGTATCCATTATAAACGTTTTAATAAAATAAAATAAATTAATCAGACTCATTATCGACAGAGCTATGTGTATCTGCGACAACTAAATCAACTTCTATATCTTCTAATGTATCTTTGTGTGATTTAAGAGATTGATAAAAATACATTTCCTGCTTTCCGACATATTCATTAGCTAACAACATAACATTTTAATATTTTGCATGCTTAATACGCAAAGCATTTTCATAACATTTTGGCATTAAAGTTAAATTTGTTTTCAAGTTATTTTTAAGCATGGTAAAATCTGTAAAGATATTGTCAAATATTTTGCACGAGAGATTAAAGCCTTATACTGAAATGTTTCTTGGAGAATATCAGGCAGGATTCAGGCGTGGACGTTCAACCATTAACCAGATCTTTACACTACGACAGATTCTCGAAAAAGCGCAAGAGTTTAACATAGATATGTATCATAATATTGTCGATTTTACAAGTCTTTACAACGCTATGAATGAGTTAGGAATTCCAAAAAAACTTATATGTTTGATAAAAGTGACAATGGCGAAGATGTTATCAGCAGTAAAAATTCAAAACGACTCGTCAACCCCATTTCAAATACATAGGGGGTTAAGGCAGTGAGATGCGCTGGCGTGTCAGATTTTTAATGTCGCCTTAGAAAAAGTTGTATGAGACGCTAATTTAGATAGTAGGGGAACAATATTTAATAGATTATTCCAAATTCTAGCATATGCAGATGACGTGGACATTATAACAAGAATTAGGGCGAGAACTGCAGAAATCCTAACCAAGCTAGTAGCATCAGCAGAACGAATGGGGTTACATATAAATCAAAATAAAACCAAATTCATGGCGACTAACACAAACACAAGGGCTGGAAATGTTGACACAAATTTAATCATCAATGACCAAAACTTCGAAACAGTCAAAGAGTTCATATGTCTAGGGACATCGGTTAACCCCAATAATAACGGCTGTATAGAACACTGATAGTCCCCGTTCTCACATATGGATTAGAAGCATTGACGCTAACGAAAACAGATGAATCCGCTCTATCCATTTTTGAAAGAAAGGTGCTACGCAAGATATTCGGAGCGGTCTGTGAGAACGGAATATGGAGGCGTAGATATAACTTTGAACTGCAGAATATCTACAAGCATACGTTTGGTGGTAAAGATATTACCACTATAATTAAGCGAAACCGCCTGCAGTGGGCAGGACATGTAGCCCGGGCACCTGAATCGAACATGATAAAAAAGATTCTAACAGCGCAACCCGTGGGAATGAGAAGCCGGGGTAGACCAAAGCTAAGGTGGTTGGATGGGGTAGCACAAGATGCGGAGAAGCTCGGAGTCGGCAACTGGAAAATGCAAGCAAGGGATAAAACAGAATGGCGTAGAAAGCTTGAGAAGGTCGAGGCCCTCTACGAGCTGTAGCACCAAGATGATGATGATGATGATGAAAATCTGTAAAGAAAGGGGCACTAGCAGTCGGACTAACTTCAACGCCATTTAAGTTTTTTGTATATTTAAATACACGATATGCAGAAATAGTAAACTTTCCTTTACAGACAGATTTCGGCTGCAGAAGAAAATAATCTTTTAAACTTTCGACATAGTTATAGATTATGTCCTGAGTTACAGGAACAACAAAAAACTTTTTGATGATGATTTAACTATATTCATATACTCCTGTGGTAAGAAAATCCTCTCAATGCATTTCTTCTTTTTTTCAATTATTCCGAAGTAGCGATCGCAGGGAAGGAAGCTATGTCCCGGCTCAGGAAATTGATGAAGGATGGTATTAATTTTTCCCTCCTGACAGAATGCCAGGAGGGAAAAATTGCTAAACAAATATAATGTTTTAACATTTGGATTTAAAATATTTTTTAAATGGTAATGTAAAAGGCTTAACACATTATTTGATCCTTTTTTTTATTTTAACATATAATTCACATCAACCACGCAGGGTTATTAGTGGAGTAACATACACAAGAATTCATTTTATTTACATTAAATATATGTATATAAACGTAAATCTTTTAAAGAATTTATTACATTGTCAGTGTTTATGGTTAAAGTGGTTTTGATGTCATCTAAGATTCCATATTTTCTTCTTGTTTCTTCGTGGTACTGGCAGTCAATCAGAATATGCTTCACCGTCAATGGGAGAGAACAGTTTCTGCAGGTTGGGGATCTTTGTTGATTAAGAATTTATGGGTCATTGCAGTGTGTCCAATTCTTAATCGGTTAATTTTTACTTGGTCCCTTCTATTGGATGGATTATTCAAGATTGTCTTCACAAGGGGATAAATCTCATATAGTTTGGTTCCTGAATCTTTCCAGTAGTCTTGCCATATGTTCATACAATGGTCTTTAATTAGGTTTTTGAGAAAGGAGTATGGGTAATTTCTTGATTTGATTGTGTATTGTGAGTTTATTCGACTTGTGTTTGCTAGGCTATCCACTTTCTCATTTCCAGCTATTCCTACATGCGACGGTACCCATACCGATAAATTCTAACTCTTTTCGATTTGATTGAATTATATTTATCTCATTTTTTATAGCCAGAAATATTGGATTTGTAGGGTGTATTTGTTTTACACCTACTACAGCATTTAATGAGTTGGTGATGATGATTCGGTGATGGTTTTGAAGAAAATTAAGGCTTCCAAAGTGGCTGTGGTCTCGCCTGTGAGGATGCAGCAGTTTGTAGGTAGTTGATTTGGAGTACATTTGATCCTTGTTTAGCAATACTTTCATCATACATAAAGAAATGTCCAGTCATGTTTTTCGCAGAAGGTATACAGAAGTTATGTACCCATACTGCCTCAAATAAAAGGCATCTCCTGAAGGTACTTTCAAGAGGGGCATGTTTTGTTGGAAATCGAAGCACAAAACTTCAATTTCATCATTTTCTTGTGCTTCTTTTGACTTCTCTCTCAGCTCTTTGTAGAACACTTCAGATTTTCGAAGATGTACATTCTTTTGTAATTCGAATGATTTCTTTTCTTCTTCTGAAGCAGGACTCTGTATGTTATTGTTTAAAATATTACATTTTTGCAAGTGTCTGTGCAGCACCAAAACTAATATTAAAGTTCTCACGAAAGTATTGCCCGTAAAAATCATACGATATTTTTGGTTTGTATGGAAGATGGTCTTAATGGTTTTTGGTTAATTTATGCATATCAGGTTCATACTTTTTCAAATATAAATAATTCATAATGGAAAAACTTAAATCACTAGACAATGTTGACGTGACTGTTGATGTGATCGCGTACGTGCCCTCTTAAATATTCGGGAATTAAATAAGGCCTACTTGAATGATGACCTCTTTTATCCTGAACAGGTGTAAAGTTTTTAGACAGGTGGGTTGCGATGCGTTCCAGATGTTTTTTTTTTTCTATACCATAAAGTAGGCACAATGCCATTTTGCAAACATTTAACTCAAAAGCACCGTTTCATAACTGAAAAACAAAAATTTACCTTAAAAACTTCCAAAATACTCAACACAAAAACGTCAGAGCCATCGAGTTAGAATCTAAACTCGATGGTCAGAGCATTTTTAAAAGTTTGTAGATACCTCTGCTTCTTTTTCCTAACCATGGTCTCCATCTCCATTGTTGTATTTTGTGGTTCCATATTCTATCCTTTAGTCGGGCATTGTGTCCTGCGAAGCTTCATTTCAATTTGGCAGCATGTTCTCCTGCATCTGTTACTTTGGATTTGCTTCTAATCCATTCTAGTCCATCGCTCTTTGTGCTTTTACTATTTTATCCATATTAGACTTACCATACTAGGTCTACCAAACAGATAATAGTAGATTTTTTCACTTCATAAATTATAGCATAAACCTCTTTGTCAATTTGAGCATATTTTTGTTGTACCTTGCTAGACATTTGTAATGCAAATTGAATAAAACGTTCACTTTCATCAGGGTATATGTGAGAAAGTACGGCACCCGCTGCATATGGACTGGCATCTGTAGCTTAAGCTGAAAGTAAAGTTAGGTCAAAATAAACAAGAACCCTTTCTGAGATTATCTCTTCTTTTGCCCTGTCAAATGCTTTTTGGCAATCTCTATTCCATATAAACGTTACACCATCTTTAATGAGATTATATATTGGATATAAGATTAATAATAAAATTATTTTTTTTTTTTTGAAAATCGCCCATAATAGTTCAATACAACAACAATAGCTCTAACTTCCCTTTTATTAGTTGGTGCTCTTGAATGAGTCATTACATCCACTTTATCTTTAGTTTTATGTATGCCTGTGTTATCGATTGCTTAGCTACAATAATTAATTAGTTAAAAACTAACATTCTTCAAAATTTACAAGTATATTATATTTTTGTAGTGCGCTCAGGACTAGTTCCAACCTCTGAAGTTGTTTATTGTCATCTAGCCTCATAATCTTAATGTCATCCAGGAATATTGATATCTCCTGTATGTTCTTAAGTAAGTTTTTAATTTCACTTTGCAAAATTTCCTGAGCACTGGCTAACCCATACATTAACCGTATAATTTGAAAAAGTTCTTCTGGGATGCTAAGTATCCAAAATTGACTAAGCACTGAATAACACGATATTTGGAAAACAAGAAATAGAAAGAAAAGTCAAGCTCAAGGTGGATACTGCAGTAAGAATACCATTACTGTTGTATGCAAGCGAAACATGGGTCAGTAACGCCAAAAAGGGACGGCATGCTAAACGCAGCAAAAATAAAACAACTAAGAAAAATAGCTTGTGTCACAAAAATGAATCATATCAGAAATAATTACATAAGTAGCGAATTGAAGCAGGAATCGATAGGATCTAAAATTAAAAGAAGAAAATTAATTTGGTTTAGACACATTATTAGGATGGAACAGAGCAGTATAGTAAAAAGGGTAATGAAATCCAGTAGGTACAGGAAGAGAAGGAAGGGAAGATCAAGGATGGGATGGTTGGAATAATTAGTGAAAATAGACAGAGAAAAAGGAAAATCATTTCAACAAAATAAAAGAACTAGCTAGGGACCGGAAGGAATGGAAGAGATGAGTACAAGAAATATAAAAATATCACTTTGACCCTCAAACTGAGCGTTAAGGAGTTCCCGAGAAAGAAGAAGATGTCACAATATTTACATGTATCTTATTTCAAGACTCAAGATCAAAAGTTTTAAAGATCAATTTTTAAATTTAGATTACAATGTTTGAATATGGCACAATATAATAGAAAAAATATCTAACAAAATTTTCTTGAAAACTTCTTCGTCTTGTATTTTATACTAAAAGAAAGAAAGTTTTTTTGGAATTGCTGTCGGTCTTAGCTCTTTTTCGACCACTAGATTAGTTTACAATAATGTATTTCAAACGATAGGTTGACTAATCATAATAATGCAGTTGGTGAAAATCATCAAATAACTGCATTTTCTATTAAGTTTTAAGGAATGGGATCCAGCTTTTGAACAGAAGATAATATTACACACACGATCGTAATAAGTACCATGGCTATTAGCATTTTTATATAGAGTCTATTTTTTGCAAATAATATTTTTTTAAATATACTTTTCTCCTGCGTCTCGTAAGGTTTGCTCAGTTACATATACTTTTCTTTTTCTCAATTTATTAACCATTTCAGGCACTTTTACATAAAACTACGTCGATTGGAATGCCATTGTTAAGTACACAGATCGTTTTTTCTTTTTATAACAATTGTAAAAATGTATAACTACGACATCTAACCAGTCACGCATAAAACTACATAGACCGTCAGATGTTCAACGGCACATAGATTATTGTTCTATGTATGTAAACCTAACATACTGTGAAAATGCAACATAAATCGTTTTTCCCGTGCACGCTTCAATTGCAGAGTTAGTTTAGTTAGGTCACTAACTACGACATCTAACCAGTCACGCATAAAACTACATAGACCGTCAGATGTTCAACGGCACATAGATTATTGTTCTATGTATGTAAACCCAACATACTGTTAAAATGCAACATAAATCGTTTTTCCCGTGCACGCTTCAATTGCAGAGTTAGTTTGGTGTAATTAAATTAAAATCTTCGGTTATTTTAATAATATAATTTTAGTTCGATACCGACCACATGGTAACTTTTTGTTAAGTTGAGTTTTCGAGTGATCAGGCAAAAAATTATCTTATAATTTTTTGTCTAATTTTTTTCATTGGTCAAAGGTCATTAGGCCTTTATTTTGAATGTGAAGAATTTTTAATTCGTCATTAATAGAGTGATCTAGAATGTAAAGTGCGTATGTAGAATCTGTTTTTCTTTAATTAAAAGTCCTTTTATGTTCTGCTATTCGTTTATTAAAGTTTCTACCAGTTTGACCGATGTAAGTTTTTGGGCATCTCACCACATTTAAGTTTGTACACTACACTGTGAAAGTGTTTTTTTTTATTTTGGCTTTTGTTGTTTTTGATATATTTGCCTAGGTTGTTATTTGTTCGGAAAGCTGGTGTTCTTCCTTTTTTTTTATGTGTTTGGTTATTTTTGTTGATATTTTGCCTGTATATGTAATCGATCAGAAGGTACTGGGTTTTCTTTGGTATTGAAAATACTAATTTCAGGGCTTTCATGATTGGTTTTTGATTTTTTTTATAGCCCTTTTTCTATCCGAATTGTCGAATAAAGGGCTCTCCCATTTCTCGCCATTCATCCCTGTTGTGTGCTAGGCGTTTCCACATTGGTTCTGCGACCCTTTTGATATCGTCGCTTCAGCGCATTTGAGGTCTTCTTCTTGGTCCCTTCGCATCGTACGGTCGCCAGTTTCCGACTTCTTTGTTCCATTTACCATCTTCGAGACGTTCGTTGTGTCCAGCCCATTTTAATTTTAATTTAGCTGCTTGTTTCGCGGCGTCCTTTATTTTTGTTTTGTTCCGGATTGCTTCGTTCGTTTGCCGATCTATTAGTGAGATACCAGGCATCTGTCGTTCCATGGCTCACTGAGTTTTCGAATATTGTCCATGTTCTTTTTGTGAATGTCCAGGTTTGAGCTCCGTAAGTGAGAACACTTTGGTTCGAAGGTTTTGGGGTATCTTTTTGTCTTTCAGTATGTATAAGAGTTTTTTAAATGCATCCCATCACATTCTTACTCGTCTGCTTATTTCGGTAGTTTGGTTTTTTTTTTGTTTACCTTGATATTCTGACCCAGATATATGTATTCTTCTACATGTTCCACTTTTGGTGTCTCCCTGTCTTACTCCTCGGTTGATTTTTATTGGCCTCGTTTTCATTCCGTTATCCATGGTGACGACCATTTCAGCGTGTTGATATATATTATGTATTAATATCCTATATCTAGAATCTATTCTGCTATTGACCAGTGCTTCCTCAATAGCCCATAATTCTATGCTGTCAAAAGCTTTCCCGTAGTCTATAAATGCTAAACAGATTGGTAAATTGTATTCGTTAATTTTTTCTATTAGGACCTTTAGTTTGTGAAGATGGTCACATGTACTGAACCCTTTTCTAAATCCGGCTTGCTCTTCTGGTTGATATACATCGAACTTTGTTGTCAATCTATTTGTAATTATTTTTGTGAATGTTTTATAAAGTTGTGATAGTAGTGATATTGGACGATAATTTTTCAGAACTGTATTGTCCCCTTTTTTGGGTATTAATATTGTGTTAGCAGTATTCCATTCCTTTGGTATGTTTCCTTCCAATAGGCATTTATTAAAAATTATTTTTAGGTACCTGATTTTTTGATATACCATTTTATTAATTGTTTGTTCTTTGTATTTGTTGTTTACTGCTATTTGCTTGATGATGTTTAATTCTGTCTCAAAGTTGTATTTTGACATCGGAATTTACGTTTGTTTACATCGGAATTTACCAGTTTACTTTGTGTTGGATGGGATGATGAATTGTGTATAGTCGTGTCAGTATGGGTAGGTTTTAGGAAAAAAAAAGAGTTCTTGTTCATTTTTAAGTCTGATAATTTTTAAATCTAAAAAATGTATTGATTGATTTTGTTCTGTTTCTATTGTAAATTGAATATGACTATGAAGTGAATTACTATACGATAAAAATTTATCGAGTTGCCTGTTAGTTCCTGTGAAACATACCAGTACGTCGCCTAGAATAGATCACTTGAGAAAGGCAATCAGCCGAAAC